TTCTCTCTCTCTCTCTCTCTCTGTCTGTCTGTCTGTCTGTCTGTCTCTGTCTCTGTCTCTGTCTCTGTCTCTGTCTCTCTCTGTCTCTATCTGCCTCCCTCTCTCTCTCTCTCTCTCGCCAAATCGACGAGGCATCCCCCCCGATTCCCTTTTCGTCTCTCTCTCTGTCTCACCAAATCGAGGAGGTATTCCTGTCGAGTGACGATGTAGCCCATGAAGATCCCGCACGAGGTGACGAAGCCAGACACGAGGCCCACGCAGAGAACGAACGCTCCGAGCCCCAGGTGCCCGAGGGAGTCCTCGGCCGCCGGACCCAGGCCCGCCACCCTGAAGTTGCGCCGCACACAACGCACACACCCTCTCAGTTAGCGAATGCGGGCCCATACTATTTTCGTTTACCTTTCTTGGGTAAGTTAGCCTGTCACCACGGGAATCGACCCCGTCAAGTGTTATGACTAGTACGGATAGAAGAAGGTACTGGGTAGAGAGAACGGAACGGTTTTCCACGAGAAGACAACAACAACAACAACAACAACAAGGAGGATTGTGAAAGCAGCAACGGCATGTGAAGGAGTACGAAACGAACACAAGTGTAGTAGGCCTTGGTAGGCTTGACGTCCAGGTGTTCTGTCTGTTGGTACCGTTCCTGTCTCTTAATCCGGAGCGTGCAGGTCGCGACAAAGCGGTGCTATCAGGCACTGTTGACATTTCTCCTTCTCCTCCCAAGCCCCCTTCCAACCCCCGTGCTGCCGATATCGCTCCTCGCGGTTTCTGCGTGAACCTTAAGGGCCCATGGCAAACATCGCTCGACGATCGTTTCATTGCTTCGACGCTCACCGTACAAGCTCAGGAAAAGAGCCCACATGCGCCAAAACATATGTAGCCACACCACAAACCAGCCACAAACATGCGACAATCGACAATTGTATCATTCAAGACAACACACACAAAAAAAAAACGAAACGAAGGATCGCCGTTTATCGCTCACCCAATCAGAGAAGCCACGAGCTTGAACACCGAAGTCTCCACGAAGCTTCCTGTCAACACGTTCCTGAACCACAATAAAAAAAAAAAAAACGCGTCATGACACAAATGAACGAGCGAGAGAAGAAGCGTACTTGCATCAGTAACCAACCGATGAGAAACAGAGGGCGAGCGAACGGTGCAGTAACGGACTACGGACTACGTACGTTACGGAAGGCCGGAGTTGAGCGGCAAGCGATGGGCTTAGTGTTTGGTGTTGGTCATAAGAGCGGGGAAACAAATTTGACAACTTCTCAAAGTCCCGCCGCCCGACAACAATATTTGGTATCTGTTCGAGACGCGATGCCCCTCCTACGCCCGCATGCAATAGCTTCGTAGGCTAGCCAAGACCCTTTCAACGCCGCCCCTCGCTCCGTGAGCCAGCCAACGATGAACCCTTGGCGCCTTACACAGGGACCAACAACGCGGCTGTAAGCCAGGGAAGCGAACGGGACACCTAAGGTCTGTCTTGCTCCTTCGTGTTGGGTTCCGCGAAGACGGCAGTAATACCGGCTGCAGGAAGCAAGATGGGCAGAAAAAAAGGTTCACTGGCCAGAGATCAGCGCACTCTTAGAGAGCGTTGTCATCGTCGGTGGGAAAATCGAGGCTTCGGCCACATACCGTGGGTGGCGTTAGATGTCACACCCCCTGGATCGATTATCACAGCTCCGTTACTCCACAGCCAAGAGGATGAATGAGTCAAACGATCCGTTTTCGGAAGAGATGGTTCCGACGCAAGCCATTTTCCGCACCGTTTCTGTTTCTGCTGTGGGGAAATCAAGCTTTGAACATCAGTCCAGGGGGAGTGGTATCTCGTGTCACCTACGGTACAACACACAGGTCTCGCGGGACTGTCAGGTTGGGTCCTCACCATTTTCCGCACCGTAACTGTTTCTGCCGTGGGGAAATCGAACATTGAACATCAGTCCAGGGTGTGTGGTATCTCGCGTCACTTACGGTACAACACACAGGTCTCGCGGGACTGTCACGTCAGGTCCTCACCAAAAGTAGAACTGCGTCATGAAGGTGTGGTTCCAGATGAGGCTCAAGGAATGCCGCCACCCCAGACCAGCGGCTGCAGAGAGGACGAGGATGACGCACAGGAGCGCGGAAGTCGTCGGGTGCTGGACCGGGCGGAAAAGCGTCCCGAAGCACGAAGCGGAAGACATTGCGCCGCCTGGTGGTGGTGGTTGTTGGCGCTGGTCCCTACGCTTTCGTGGTGGCGGTTGTGATGATGTCCGCACGCCTGCTTGTTTGTCCTTACAACGCTGCGAGGTTTCCGCCAAGGTAAAAGGCACAACCGTGTAGAAAGAGAGAGCCCCCCGTGGAAAGAAACACCCCGCCTTCCTAACGACCGTTTGCCTGGAACACGCGTTGGCGTTTGTCTCCTGCTTCCTCCTCACGAACTCGGACAGCGACGCACACACCGAGCAGCGCGGCGCTCTCTTTCCAGCCTCCTCCTTTCTGCACAGAGACAGAAAAACAAACAAATCGGGGTGGGGTTCGCTGAAAAACACGCCAAGAACCACTTATTGCTGGGTCCTCGGGAGGACTGCTTACGCACATGTAGTAGGGTTATTACGTTACTAAGATGAAGACCAGGCAGGGGGCACGCAGACCCTAACCCCTACTTCGCTGATTCTACTTTTTCCAGTATGTTTGCGTGCCCTGAAAAACCTGCGAGGACTACTGCCTCGGGACACCGCGTTTTTTATTCTTTTTGGGTGTCCCATGTTTCGACCGCTGTTTCCAGCAGATCCCAACTACCCTACAGGCTTGACTCGCCCGTTCCTTCTAACTGAAGGGCTTTCGATACGGAGTCACAAAAACATCTCCCTCGGCCGGGGGGGTGTGGCTTGACTCCTTGAACGCGACAAAGGGTTTGGCCATCTCTTTCAGCAAATATGCATCAAAACAGAGAAAAGACGCACCCGTTCGAGGTACAACCACAGCAGAAAATAGTCGAAACGAGGACCACCGCGCCCCCGCTGTTCTCCGCGAACAACAGAGCAGAAAAAATTGGGGATGTACACAGATTTGTTGACGTGAAGGTGCTGTGACGTTGTTAACGTGAAGGTGTGCTGAAGTCTTTCCCCCTCGAGTTTGCTGCCTACCGGTGGCACGACTATCCTCGTCTTCGCCGCGCTGGTACCCGTCGATATTCCGTTTTTTTTTTATTTTTCTTAATATGACACAACGAATCCATCTCTATCATCATAGAAAAGAGTCAGAGACAGAGTAGCAATGAATTCATAGCGTCAGAAAAAGCTACCTGTATGTCTACGATTTCCCAGACAGCATATAGGGACATCTCCCCTGCTGCGGGTAACAGGCTCAACAAAACAGTTTGGTAGCTTGTCTTGTGTATCTCATATATGTTATGTTGGGAAGGTGTAGCAGAAAGGTGTTGGGTACTGCTGTTTGGTATTAGTCGGGCGTTTTGTGTGTGGCATCCGCTTTTTTATTTTATTTTTGCGTCATGCTGTCAAATAAACGCCGCTTTAAGCTGCGGCTAAAGAAGCCCTTTTAGAACGCATGAACATGAAGCTTTGTGGTTGGATGACGTTCACAGTCCCTGCGTGAAAGTACTTCATGTTCAAACGAGTGGGCTGACTTTGGCTTCCGCAGTCTAGAATGCGTGTCGCCGAGTTGATCGCGAAAACGAAAGACTGGGGAAACGATGGGGGGCAAATCAGGGGGCGAAGAAGGCGGGAGCGGCGCGGCATATTTGGCAGACATTTGTAGATGGAAGATAATAATGCCGCTAACGGTATCAACAGCTCCTTTTCCACCCCAGGGTCAACACAGAACAGAGCTGGAGGGAGCTCCTCCTGCAAGCAGTACAGCAGTACATATGCATAGACTACCTGGTACATCTTTGCGTACTCGAGGTAACGGACAGTCTTTCGCCACGTTCCCCTACAACAGCAGCGAACTTTGCTCCATACGATGAACCCGGAATAGACAGGCTACAGTAGGCTAGCGGTGCTCGCCGGAATAAGGCTGTGCGCAAGACGTACGTTTCGGATGACCGCAGGCTAGCGAACTGCTGTGCTACCATTTCTCCTTCCTTAACATACAATGGTATCGACCACTATGTGGACTCCAAAGACTACCCCCCGGAGTTTGTTCTCTCACACGAGATCACGAGATGTCTCACATATGCAACAAACGCCCACCAGACAGACTTTCGAACCCAGAGAGTGAAATGCCCATGTCGCACGTTGATGCTCTAAGCGAGGATCTCCCCCTCTCGCTAGCTAAGTAGGTAGGTTCGTGTTCCTTCGCCGCTATGTAATGGAGGTACTCTGTAGCTGTGAGATGGATCAGGTGTGCATTATGCATTTACACTCCACACCGTGTCTCCGCACGACGACGCGCGGAGCGGCGGAATTCTTATAAGCGCGAAAGAAAAGCCACAGGCTCGACGAAAGGATTACAAAACACATACCGTACCTCACAAGCTGTCTCCTGATCTTCCCCTGCCGATGCCGCTCCACGCTAACTTTCGGCTCTGCACTGGGCCGGCACCCCGCACCCCTCATCTCTTCTAGGGGAGGGGAATCGCAGACACGAATGCTATACGTACCCATGAATTCCTCATCGCCGTCCTCCCCTGTGTCAGAGATTGTCAGACTGCAGACAGCACAAAATACAGCAGTCCCAGGAACCTCTCCGCACGCTGCTGGGCAGTGTGTCAGCCTCCGCAATCATCCCTCTGTCGCGCCGGGCAGGATGTGGGCGAAGCACAGCAGCCCTATGATGATCCGGCGTGCAAAGCGCGCGGCGATTTTCGCCTCTCCCTTTGTCGCTGTGGGCTTGTGGGCCGGCTACGTGCTCAAGGAGAGGCGGAAGGCGCCGGCTGAGGTTCGCTTTTCGATAGGCTCTGCAGGTGTGCTTGTGTGGGCTGTGTCGAGGACAGGTTGCAGGCACGCGTGCTTTTGAGTGGTGCATCTCAAGCAGGCTGCCCGCAACAGCAGCCGTAGAAGAACGGAAACGACAACAACGCTGAATGCAACTGCAGTTGTTGTCGGATGGAATGTCATGATGTGTATGCTTACAACAGCAGCAGGTTTGTCGTGCGGTGCATATACTGCTGCTGTGGCAAGCCGGCGTCATGACGCACCCTGCAAGAGCGCGCCAGTGCACGCTTTGTCCGAATCACTCTGCATGTGAACACCGCACCTGACGCACCATCTGCTGTGCAAGTCTCGACATTCATGTATGCTCTTCGTAGTTGCTGTTTGGGATGATCAAATAGAAGCGGATGTTTTGAACAGGTCTGGGCAACTGCTGTACCGCCCGCACATAAGATACCACTCCCCAGTAAGATATCACTCCCCCACTCGCCCTGGAGCGATTTTCAAAGCTCGATTAACTCCATTGCAGAAAGAGCAGTGGCGGTGCCGAAAATGGCGCGTTGGAAACATCTCGTGGAGACCTTTCCGAAAACGCATCGATTGATTTTTTCACAACCTCTCGTTCGTGGAGTATTTATTTGTGGTGGAGTTTGAAAGTCGGTCTGGGGGGGGGGTGGTATCTTAAGTCACCTACACGGCATCAACCTCTCTCTGTCGTTCTTCCGCCGCTCCCTGCCGATGGCTGGTCAGTCGAGAGCAGTCGAGACTGCTTCCTCTGCCGGTTTGCAGCTTCTCCGTGTATTTCATCAAGTGGTACTTGTTTCAGTAGTGTGTTATCGTCACGAGCGGGAGGCAACTGTCCATGCCAAAGAGAGGGAGTTCAGCCCCCAGCACACAACTCACCTTATACAAGAGGGTCCCCGTGCATCATCACGGTGCCCCGACTCCCTCGCAATCTCCACCACCTGTGTGACACACACGCCGCTCGACAGACGTACAGGTATCCAACCAATGTCCATGAGCCCACGAATACCCTCCCTTGCTCTTCAAGCTTGCGACTACCCATCAGTGGGGTATTTGCACCCCGGATGTTGTTGCTGTTGTTGTTGTCTCGACGTTGAAGAAAGGCCCGGTTTCCGCTCAGTGTCTTCTAATATCCGAAACTGATCCAACTGGTGCAGATGTCTACGCAGGATTTCATGAGTATCTAGAAAAATAATAGGGAGAGGGGCACGCAGACCCTATCCCCAACCTTAAGCCTAACCCCAAAGCACGGATTGAATACTTTATCCCATGTGTTTGCATTAATCAATTCTCCTGCGTAGACTAACGTCCGTGGTCGCAAGACGCCTACCCAACGAGGGGTACCCCTTTCTTGAACGAAAAAGAAAAGAAAAGGAAGGATGCATGCATGCATAAAACACCACCAAACACTGCAAGTGAAAGGAAAACCCGGTACCAGCAGCAAGCGAAAGTCCTCCTGCAACAACCCCAGACAATACTATTATATTACTCAAGGAGGCCTCAGGCCCCGGCTTCGTGATCTCCTCCATGGGACCGCCTTTGGGCGGGAAACTATGGTGTTATGAGGAAATAGAACAGGGAGGGGGTACGCAGACCCTATTCCCTAACCCCAACCCTATCCCACCTCCCCCTGTTGCATGATCTCTATCCAACATGTTTACGAAAGTGAAAAACCCTGCGAAAGGTACTGCCTCCATGGTAACGTGACTTTTTTTCAGCCACAACAATTCACAATAACAAGGGGCAGTATGACAAATAGTTCCCCCGGTTTGAATTGCTTTTATGTTAGGTAGCAGAGGTACGGACGGCGGATGAAATCGTGCACCGAGAGAAAAAACGTTGGTGGAATGTTTTCGTTGTCCAATCCGATCCTTTCTAGACGGTGAGTGCCACCGCCGTCATCGAAGTCGCTCTTGCTCTTCTGCTCGCATACTTTATCGTTTGTTTGTTCTCCTGTGCACTGGTTAGAAGAACGAATTGTCCGTACCTCTGTCCCTAATCCTAGATGGTGCTGCTTACACCAGCAGTGCGACCACCATCGAGATACATCACGTGCACCACCCGTGCCTCACTTCTTCGTAGTGCAGTCGGGGTCCCTCTGTGTATGCGCCAAGCGCTTTCAGCCTGACTATTGCGGGCACCCGCAATACTCAAATGCATCATCCACCTCAGTTATTTAATCTGTGCCAGCCAATTGCACCCGCACTCCTATATATCTCACATTTAGAGGGCCCCCGGCCGTATGTTGGAACAGAGACCCACTGTAAGTACGACCGGTGTAGTCATCCACCCGCCGTGTAACCGTCACCACGGGTGACTCGATCGTGCTCGGCGTCGTTTGGCTTCGCGTGTCTTTCGAATGGTCGCTGTTTGTCGAACAGATGACGTGCTGACGGAGCAGCTCAAGACTGGGGACGTCCTGCTCTTCAGCCGAAGGTGGACACAGATGCTGGTGAGAGACGAAACGGATTATCTAACGAGGCGGGCCTCTCTGTGTTTGATGTGGACTCTTCGCGCGAGCCGGCTCTGAACTACCCGTGCGTGTCGCAATAGGTTCACTGGATTGTGTGGCGTACTCTCACCGTGGATTTTCATTCGGCGCGTGTTGCTTTTTTGTGTCCAAGCGCGTCTTGACGTGTTCTCCACAAGAGCAGTTTGTTTGTTCTCCGGGAAGGGGCGGTTCGGATGCCGTTTGGCGCGAACTGGTGTCGTTCGTTGTCGCCGAGGTTGCCAGGTTGCTTCCGCACGACACACCCAAAGGAGAACGGCATGCAGCGGCTCATCCACCCACCCAAGCCTCCAGACCCGGCCGACGGGGAGTTATAGTTGCTGCTGCTGTTTGTTGTTGTTGTTGTTGTTGTTGTTGTTGTTGTTAATGTGGGTGGTGGTGTCGTTGTTGCTTTTGTTGATTTTATTTGTTGCAATGTTATTGTTGTTGGTGATGGTGGTGGCGGTGTTCCTGTCTGCACATGAAAGACCCAACGTGCTGACTTGTGGTCCATACGTTCCTCCACAAAACCCCCTTGCCTGCGTACGGTTGGTGCATGCGCGCGTGTTTCTTACTACCCTTGCTTTTCTTCCTCGATTCTTTCCCCGTCGGTGCCGTGCGCGCAGCCCGCAGGGGCGGCGTTGAGCGTGATGAAGCGTAGCGTGTTCGATTCTCGCTTCGACCACGCTGGGGTGGTGGTGGCGGATCGATTCGGGACGCCGCACGTCGCAGAGGTGACCTATACGGGGATCAAGCTCCGGCGGTTTGATGAGCGGATACTACGATCAAAGTGAGTGCGAAGGATTTTTTTCTGACCTGGCCACTACAAACAAGCTTAGATATAAAGAAACGTCGATGCACGGGCAGTTCTTTCCGTGGCCGCATTTTGTCTTGAGAAAATACGTTCGAGTTCACGCTTCGTATTAGAAAATATTGCTCAACTCATAGAGTACGAAACTAACGTCAGAACCAACACATCGTCCCGCGCGTCTTGTTTGTTCCCGTCGACCGTTTCTCTCTAACTCGCGGAAGGTGCAACGAGATCATGTTGATCCCCGTCAACTTCAAGTGCAGCGAGGAGACTCGAGCCAAGGTGGAACGACACGTTAAGGGGCTCACGTACAGGTATGCAAAGACAGATAATCAGATCAGTCCAGATCGGAAAAACAGGCCCGTTGTTGTCGCGCTGTGACCACGCGCCGTCACCGCAGGCATCCGTGGGACAGGTTATTTGCGACTTCCCCCACCCCGGCAGCACCTCCCGAACGAGTTTACTTTTTTTGACGTGTGACTGCTGGTTGGCACCTTGCTCTAGGGCCCGCAGCTCGTGCGCTGTACTGCTGTGCGGCTGTGGCGGGCTAAAGCGATCGTGCGCTACTGCTGTGCGGCTGTTTGCGGCGCAGGCTAAAGCGGAAGGTGGCTTTGGGGCACTGCCCCGGTTAGACAGGGCTTGTAGAATCCGAAATCAAACCCAATTCTCAGCCCTACTGGGAGTTGTACGGTTAGGTTGAAGCTGCTCGCTTTTTTGTGACCAACGAGAGGTGGTTGTCGGCAAACAAAAGTGAAGCGTCGAATTTTTTCGTCGGGCCGGTTTTCGCCCGCAAACGGGCCGTTCTTTCATCATGCGTTTTTTCGTGCTTGGTCCAAACTTTGTCGTCTATTATTAGTCCGCCGACGCCCGAACCCCTTTCGCCCCTGAAAATGTAGCGTTATCCAATGTCCTGACTTGCCCCCCTCACCGCAACCAACAACCAACCAACGCAGAGAGCCGATCGCGAACACGCTCTGGATAGACCTTCTCGGCGCTCTAAAGCTCAAGACCACCAAGCCGGGGGAGTGGGGCAAACCCCCCAAGTACGTCACGGAGCCCCCGATCATCGGCAAGATCGTGCCCGCGAGCCCCGCCGTCCAGCTGGTGATGTCGTGTCTGGACATGGCGGGAGCGGCGGACGGGGCGGCGGTGGCAGAGTGGAAGTACCCCCTCGCCATAACGCCCAAAGACTTGGAGAACTGCGAGGTGCCTCTGAAGGAGGGGGCCAACTTTGGGGAGCCCCACACCGTTCGTGTTAGGCAATAGTACGTACAGTAGTAGGTCGTGTCGTTCGCCGTCGTTGTGATACGTAGACCCCGTTCTCCGGATGGGAGCGGGCGTCGCAGACTCCGCAGGCCGGCGGGGCGGTGTATGTTGTTGCCCCTTGTCGGGGAAAGTTGCGGCAGCGTGCGGGTTCGAGGGCATTTCTCCTTGTAATGATGTGTCGTTGGAGTTTTGGAGTCCGTCGGTTTACTCGCTATCTTGACATGCCTTGGCGCAGTGGCCTCGACAGATGTACTTGCTACGATGCGCCGGCGCAGCGTGGGTCCACGGGCGTGGACGTGCGTATATACTTGAGTCTTCTCCCTCGTGTTTGGTTTCGAATGAAGGACAGGTGGCTACTTCTGTCTCCTGTCGACCCCTTTGTTAACCAATGCACAACACAAAACAAATAGTTCATGTCCATATCGCTTGCATAGACACGCCGCAGCGCAACGGACCGACAGCGCAATTGCAGCGCAACCTTTATCCAAGCAGAGGTACCAACACAGCAGTTCGCAAATGACCGACAGGACGACCACAAGGTAACTGCTCCTACGCTTAACACCTATATGCCGCCCGCAACTACGAGGAGGGCGGACTGATACACAAATCGAGTCATGTTCACTACGCCTACCATCCCGCACTGGGGTGATTCCCCCTCGCACGAGCGCCTGCCGCATGCACCCAATCCCCAGCGTATGCAAGAGCCGTAACTCCCACCGTTACCGTTAAAAAAAGCCTCTACACACGAACACCACCGGTTGCCGACTTGGATAGGATATGATACGAAACACTCTGCTACCTACCGCAAAGACGGCGCGCGCCTCAGCCGCAGCGCGCGGACGAAAACTCGCGTACCACACCACCGCCGTCTCTGCCAAGTTGGCTAGCTGAGACAACACCCACTACAAGTTTTACCAAGTGAAGCACGGGACCCTAAGTCGCTCTTCCCCCTCACACCCATCTGCTGGATGAAATGTACAATGAACTCCAGGTGCAGCAGCATCGTGAGGATGTAAACAGCCGTTCCACAAGGATCTCGCCAAATCTTCTTGCAATGCCCCGGAAAATCGTAAACAGAGCGAGAATATCCATCCGCTTGCCGATCGCTGCCGGCGACCTCTGCGCGGAGCCTTCGCGTTTCACCACGAAGAGCAACCCGTGACGAGGGTCGCTTGCCGCAAGCATGAGAACACTACCATCTTCCATCCTCCCTGTACGCTCCTGTTTCGCTGCCCTTGCTTCCGGCATGCACGACAACACTGTTGTGAGCTTCTACAGCAGTTCCTCCAAACTGTCCTCTCTCCTGCTGTCTTCCGCCTCCGTCAAAGCCTCCACCTACAAGAAACCAACACAATACGGCCGCAGCAAACAGCGGACCGCCGGCCATGCTGCTGTTCCGATCACTGGGAAAACACTTTATTTACAGAGCGAAACGTCACGGTGTTTGCCGCTTGTAACACCCTACCTACCAGCTGAACCAGGCGGGCTTCCTTCTTCAAACATGTGGAAGTGACCTTCCACACAGCAGAAAGGCACACCGCTAGGAACAAACAGCATCCTCTCCCCCCCACGTGCAAAAACAAAAGCAAAAACGCCACTACACCAATCCGGGGACGCGCATACACGCAGCCGGCCAGTTGGACACAAAAACCCACCCCACAGCAAACATAAAAAACCTGGACACGAAAATGCCTAGCTGCAGGGAGCAAAGCACCCCTTTCTGCATCCCGTGACATGCTAGCTAGGGGACTAACAAGTCTTCAACCCTCAGGGTTACAACGACTCTCAAATCATCCCTACGACAGCGACAACGGGGCCGAGGCCGTCGTCGCCGGCACCGCCACCGCGGCAGCAGGGGGAAGCGGAGCGGAGGCCGGCAGCGGCAGCGGTGGGTCAACCACCACCACCTCAGGCGATGCCGCCCCATCATCGGGGCTCCATGGACGGCCGGACGATGTCGGGGGGTCCTCTTCTTGGCGCAGGACCTCCTCAACGTAGCGCTGAAGCGCGCGCCTGTACTCCGTCATATCCGCCTGGGTAGTCCACGCGTCAACGTCCTCGCGCATCTGCCCCTGCCCGCACTTCTCCGCGTACAGCAAGGAGGCCACGCCGCAGTCGAACCCGGTCGTCTGCTGCTGCCGCGTGATGGCCGAGTACGCGCGCGAGGCCCAGCCTTCGTGCGACGGCGTAGGGCTGGGGGCTTTCCTCTTCGACCCCCCGCTGCCACTGCTGCAACTCCCGCCGCGGATTTCCCCCCCGGAGCGCAACGGCCACACGGCGTCCAGCCAACGGTACACCTGTGGGGCGGGGGCGAGAAAAAAAACCGTTTTCGTCAGGACAAGAGAGCTTCGGATACGAAAGCTGCATAATTGAGGCAACCTCTTGTGGCGCGAACGAAGCGTGTATTGCACTCATCATAGACCGTGTTCTTAACTGGCTGCTTTATAGGAAGGGGGCGGATCTGCGCCGGCCGGGGTAGCTTCTAAGCGTACAAGCCCAAGAGAAGGCTTTACATAGCGAATGAACACATGAGACACACACAACCCTACACTAGGCTACACACACGAGCAAGCAAGCAATAGTTGCCACAAGTCGGAAAAACAGACAAACTGAGGAAGGAGACTTGACGTACCATGCCCGAAGCGCCTGGGAAAACAAGAACGACCAAATATGACACACACACCCTTGGTACCACGCGGCCGACGGCCTCATAACTACTTCAACCACTCTCACCTCTTTCGGGATGCAGCGGAAGCCGGTGCTCCGCCCGCCGGGGGCCCCGCCGCCGCCCCCACCCGCGGCCTGCTGTTGGGTGTACCGCGACCCCCCCTGCCGGCGCGGCGGCTTCCCCATCGGCTCGAACAGCTGCAGCTCGGGAACGGGGTCGTGCTCCACACGGAGGAGGTTCCAGTGGACGTTGTTGACGTGGGTCAGGAAGATCACCGGCCGCTTCTCCGAGTACACGATCGGCCTGCCGAGGACGTCCTTGAAGACCATGCTCTGGTCGGCGAGAGCGGCGTTGGCGGCACCGGCGGCGGCAGCGTTGGCGGCCGTCGCCGCTTCGGCCCCTCCGCCATCTCCGCCGCTCTCGCTAGCCCCGGCGTCGCCACCTGAAGCGGCGGCGGCGGCGGCGGCGGCGGCGGCGGCGGCAGGAGGAGGCGTGTCCGGAGCGCCCCACCCGTTCAGGCACAGCACGGCGAAGTCGATCGGCATGAAGTGGACGTTCGTGTACGTGCGGGCGAACTTGGCCATGACCACGTCGATGAAACCCGAGCTCAGCCAGTTCTTCGCGTCGACAACGTCCCCCTCGCCGAGCCCGAGCATGCTGGCGGCCGCCGCGGCGGCCGCATCGTCCCCGCCCCCACCGCACGCGCGACCGCCGCTAGCCCGACCGCCAAGCTTGTCAGCGGGTCGGACGTCCCTGAGGCACGTCTCGAACGGCGGCGGCGGCGCCGCCCACCGCGACGGCATCTGCGATCGGGCCAGCTTCACGGTCACCACGTTCCGCCGCTGCTTCTTGCTCGCCCTCTCCTCCTCGTCATCGTCTCTCGCTCGCGGCTTCTTCTTGCCGTTCGGCGAGGCCGTTCCGCTCTCGTCGATAGCAGCAGCGGCGGCGGTCGGGGGGCATTCGTCGAACCCCAGCGGATACACGGGGGAGGAGGCACTGCCCGCTAAATCGAAGCAGTACTCGCTGTCCGTGT